GTGTTTGGGGGTGTGGCTGGGGGTCCTGTGGCCAGAGTTTCGGGAGATGGGATTTTCAATTTTAGCTGTAGGGCGCTGGGCACGGCCCTTCCTCTCTTTGGACCTCAATTTTCTCCTCTGAAAAATGGGGTTAATGACCTTGCCCCCTCTCCTGGTGCTGTGCTGGTCAATGTTCACCAACGAGCTCCTCCCACTCCCACCCCCCAAAAAAGTCTCTGATTTGTAGTGTTTGCTAATGTCCATGAGTAAATGCTTACACCATGGCCAATCCAGTCTGATTTGACAGAACGGGGAGCTGGAAAGATGTGGGCACAGTTGGCTCCTGCAAGGCCACAGTAGCTGTCTCTAGCACACCACTGCCTGTTACCCTCTGGGGCAGAGGGAGAACGAGGGAGATGACAGATACGAGAGCTTTGTAAATTGCAGGGTGCTCTATAGATGGAGAGTCAGGAGGACGGTTGGTTGGTAGGTCGGTCGTCCTTACAGTAGAAGGGACCTCAGGGTACAGTCTGCCTTTGAGATCCCTGGCCCAGCTTCAGCCCAGGAAGGGGGCAGGCTGTGGATCGGGGGAGCCCACACTAAGCAGCAGGGTCATGGCAGTCATTTCTGGTAGCTGCTGGGATCTGAGAGAGGAGGTGAGCTGACTGGACCTCCCCCATGGGTTTGCTGCTATTTGCACACACACACACACACACACACACACACACACCCCATCGTGTTCCTTGGAACAAAAGCAGGTAGGATAGAGGTTAGACTCCAAGATTCCCTCTGAATGTGGATGCCAGCCTCAGGACACTGGAGGCATTGGTGAAGCCTCCTGAGAGACCCAAAGCAATAGAGCAGCCCTCCCCACCCCCCACCTTCCCTGGGAGTTTCTACGGACCCTGGCTCCATCTACCACAGGGGGACAGCTGGAATGATCTCTGAGGGCAGAGAGTCAAGGGGAGGGAAGTTTAGCCTCCACCAGTGCTGGGGGATGATGCCATGGAGACAGAAGGGGGAGTCCTCCTTCCCCCACCCCCAGAGCTCATGCTTTAAATTAACTCTGCCCCACTGCTAATTATTACTAATAGCTACTATTTATTGAGTATGTACTATGCATTAAGCTATTTACAAGCAATATTTCATCTAACCCTCCAGAGAGGTATGTATTATTAGCCCTCTATTACAGATGAGGAAACTGAGGCCCAGGGACGGAAGTGAAGCACCTTGCCCAACCGAAGTCCCGCAGTTCCTGGGATTCAGATTCAATCTTGGCCCTAGAGCTTCTGAACTAGATCATCCAACCTCAGGGTCACTGAAGGCTACTCCAGGGAGGGGTCGGGGACCAGCCCAGCCCCCTCCCTTACCCAACAGTGAGCTCCTTCCTGTGCTGGACAGGACCCCCTATTTACACCAATCAAAGCCCCACAGGCTGGCCTCTTTTGTTTTTTCTTTGTTTGTTTGTTTGTTTTAGGTTTTATTTATGTATTTGATGGAGAGAGACATAGCGAGGGAGGGAACTCAAGCAGGGGGAGTGGGAGAGGGAGAAGCAGGCTTCGCGCTGAGCAGGGAACCCAATGCGATACTCTATCCCAGGACCCTTGGACCGTGGACCCAAGCCAAAGGCAGATGCTTAACAAATGAGCCACCCAGGCACCCCTGCCCAGCCTCTTTTGGATGCATTTGTCAAGGGACCTCCTCTTTCAGGGGCTGTGTGGTCTTAGGCTAAGTCACCGAACCTCTTCTCTGGGCCTCCTTTCCTCATTTGTAAAACAGTCTGGGCTGAGGTGACCAAAAGGGTACCACTGAGTCAGGAGTGGTCCCTCATAAAACCAACCCAGAGGAAGCTCGGCAGGAGGACCATTCCAGGGCAGTGGGCCTCTGAGCTCTGTGTACACTCCCTGGTTTTAAGCCTGTCTATGGGGCTTGGCCAAGTCCATGTGCATCATACAGCTGTGTGTGAACTAAAGCCTTCAGTTAAGGTCTCTGAGATCAGGAAGTGAGCCAGGCCTCCAGATGATATCCTGGGACGTAGAGGCTGATGCAAGTGTGGGAGTGGGGCAGAGGCTTTAGGGGGCCTTCCGGGAAGGTTGGGCCAAGGTGCAGCCTGCTCAGATTCACATCTCAGAGGAGCAGAGTTGGGATCTAAGCCCCCGGAGGCCAGGCTGAGTGAAGGCCAGGCAGAGAGGGCAGCTGCCTCCTGGGGGGTCATTGACCAATCTCCCCAGGCCTGCCAGGCTCGAAGTCGCAGGACCGTCGGGGAAACCAGAGTCCTGGGTCAGTAAGGCCAAATGCGTGACACATGTCCCTGAGGGTTTGCTATGGGCCGGGCATCTTACACACCTTGTCTCCCTTCATCCGACTCTGGGAGATAGGCCCACAAGCCCCATTCATCAGAGGAACAAGATACAAAGAATTACAGGGTTTTTTTCAAAATCGAGAAGCCAGGTGGTGACACAGCTGGGACTCAAAGTCAGTTTGGACCAAACCCAAAACCTTTGCTCTTAACCACACACCATTCTGCCTTCGGAGAGGGGAGCAACCACCACCCCCCCATGGGTTCCAAAGCCCAAGACCTGGAGGAGACGAAAGGGCCCTGGCCTCACCTCTGGAGGTGCTAGAGGAGGCTTGGGAAAGCAGCTCTGGGCCACATCCAGGCGTGGCAGGCAGGCCCTGGCTGTCCCAGAACTGTCCAGGGAACGGCAGTGGAGGGGGTGGGGTGTGGGCCGTCAGTCATGCGGAGCCGGAGATGGGCTGCCCTGTACCCCGGGCCCCATGCCTGCTCCGCTGTGGTGTCCAGTTACGGCCAGCTCTGCGCTTCCCTGGTCACGCCGCATTTAGCATTATGATTGAGCGGGTGCCGGGACATGGAGAAGGGGCGGTAGGGACTCTTGAAGGGGCGGGAGAGCCTCCCCACACCTCCCCCACCTGGACCCCAGCTACTAGCCCCCTCTGCCACTGATCCCTGGAGGGACTTGGGGCAAATGCCCTCCCTTCCTTGTTCACGGCACCCCCAAGCAAAGGGAGGAGACAGTTCATGCCTCCCTGGCATGCGGATCCTAGGCTGGGCACCCTTGGGTCCCCCAGGGCACTCCCGAGAGAGTTCAGTCTGGGAAATGCACAATTACCCTGATCTGCTTGGCAGAGGTCTCGGGTAGGAGGGAGTGAGTGTGAACCTCAGGCTTTTCTTGTTGCTTGGCCCCCCCAGCTCAGCCAACACTCAGTCTGGCCCCCATCAAATGAAAAAACCATACGAGGAACCCAGCGAACAGAGCTGGGTTCGAATACTGACTCTATTAAGGATTTGCTGTGTGATTTGGACAAGCCGTGTAACACTTCTGAGCCTCAATTTCCTCAGCTGTAAAGTGGGCTTAAACCTTCCTTATGTTTTTTTTCTGACAAACCCATGAGAAAACTTTCCAAATCGCTTACACAGAGGCCAGCCCAGAGCGGGCCCTCAGCCAATGGCAGGCTTTATCTGAGACTGCTTGGCAAAGAGGAGAACATTCCAGAGGAACTATCCTTGGCAGGTGGTGGGGAAGGAAGGCAGAAAGCTGAGGGTGAGAATAGTAAAGCTGAACTAATAAGGATATTAATAACGAGAGCAGGCATCTGGAGAGCACTTAGGATATGCTAGGTATTGTGCAAAAGGGTTCCTGTGTGTTATTTCCTTTATTACAGCATTCCTCGGTGGGAGGCCCTACCTCTCTCCCCGCTCTATAGATGATGGTGTCGAAGCTCAGAGAGCTTCCCTGACACAGCTAGCAAGGAAAGGCTTGGACCTAAGTCCTCTCAACCTCTGGGGTATGCCGGGGACAAGGCTCTGTACTTCTAGAAGTAGGAGCTGAAAGAGTCCTAAGCTATCATCTACTATCATCTACTGTGAGGCCCTAGTTTTCAAATAGTGAAACCAAAACTCAGAAAGGGCAGTGGCCTGGGGACGCCAGGCTGGCTCTATCACTGGACCATGTGACTCTTGATCTTGGGATTGTGAGTTCGAGCTCTGAGTCAGGTGTAGAGATTACTTAAAAATGAAATTTCTTTTAAATTTTTAATTTTTAATTTATTTTTTTAAAAGATTTCATTCATTCACCTGTCAGAGAGAGAGCACACATACAAGCAGGGGGAGCAGAGGGAGAAGCAGGGTCCCCACTGAGCAGGGAACCCGACATGGGACTCGATCCCAGGACCCTGGGATCATGACCCAAGCCAAAGGCAGACGCCTAACGACTGAGCCACCCAGGCATCCCAAAATTGAAATATTAAAAAAAAAAAAGAGGTTAGGGCCTCTCGTATACATAGGTACAAGAGGCAGTTTGGAAGCGGCAGGAGGAACAGCCTGTGCCGAACATCGCCCAGTGGACCAGTGGTGGCACCCCGGGGCCAGGCCAGGCTCACAGGACCACCAGGCGGCCAGGTCCCCTCGAGTCCCCAGGGGCACACTGGGCATGCCAGTCCCTGAAGTGGCATCGGTGACAGGTCCCACCTCTACGGAGGGCTCGGTCACCTGCAGCATGAGAAGTGTGAGGGTCGGGGCTTGACCCACTCTCTCCAGCCCCCTTCTCTCCAGACCAGCCACCTGTTCAGGCCCTGTGCAGAGGCAGCTGGCAATAGTCACCTAGTCCGGTCCCTCTCTGGGAGATAGGGGCCAGAGTCAGTGTCTTGAGGGGACCATCCGCAGCTGAGCTCCAGAGAAGCCAGCTCTCCCTCATGGGGAAGGGGGTTGGGGTAGGGGGTAAGGGGGTCTCCCACCTGGTGTGTTTTGTTCTCTCTCCAGTCTTCCCTCTGTGCTTCCTTCCTCTGTCTCTCATAGTTTATCTGCTTCCTTCTGTCTCGAGTGTGTCTCTCATTGTGTCTATTTCTCTGCCTGTCTGTCTGTCTCTCTCTCTGTCTTACCAGATGTCCGGCTAGAGTGAGGGCACCAGCCCAGGGATGGGGTGGGAGTAGAGGGTGTGAGCTTGGGGTTGGTCACCCCAGGACCCTGGTCCTCACTCTCATCACAGCCGGCTTTCTTCGAGGCCAGGACTGGGTGATGGTGTCGCTACTCCCGCCGCAGTCTGACGCCACACTGCCCGGCCCCGCCAGACTGGAGGGCGAGCCCCAGGGGGACCTCATGCAGGCACCGGGCCTCCCAGGCTCCCCCGCCTCACAGAACGTAAGTACCCACCACTTGGGCCCAAACACAGCCCAGCAGCAGCTGGACCAGTCCCCCCTACCCCAGGGCACCTCCTGGGATCTGCCTTGTCCCTTCCAGCAATGAGTAAATTACCCAGTGACTCCAAGCTCCAGAGGGTTCGGATCCCCACCTCTGCTTATCCCTTCTGTCTGGGGCTTTCCCAGGGCAGGGCTGTGCATCCCTCTGACCTGGGGTACCTCAGATCCAGGAGCAGAGTGCCCTCATCAGATTAGGGCTTCCAAGGGAAGTCTAGGTCTCCTCCATCATTTGGGAGTCCCTCAGAGCTCAGCTGCAGACCCCGTTACCCTAGCCCAGAGTAGGGTCCTGGTCCAGCCTCTACTCACAGGCTCTCTACCCTCTGTCCACCCCAGAAGCTTGCCGGCTTCAGCTGCTCATCATTTGTGCCTGACGGCCCCCCAGAGAGGGCACCCTCACTGCCCCCACAGAGCCCCAGCGTCGCATCACCAGGCCCCGAGCAAGTCCACTGCCCAGCTGGCCCGGGCCCGGGCCCCTTCCGGCTCTCGCCCTCAGACAAGTACCCCAGCTTCGGCTTTGAGGAGGGCCCAGCAAGCAGCCCTGGGCGCTTCCTCAAGGGCAGTCATGGGCCTTACCACCCATACAAGCGGCATTTCCATGAGGACGTCTTCCCTGAGGCCCAGACCGCCCTGGCCCTTGATGGACACTCCTTTAAGACCCCGGGGGCGCTGGAGGCCTTCGAGGAGATCCCCGTGGATGTCGGGGAGGCTGAGGCCTTCCTGCCTGGCTTCTCAGCAGAGGCCTGGAGCAACGGGCTCCCCTATCCCAGCCAAGAGCACAGCCCCCAAGTCCTGGTGAGTACCAGTGGCCAGTGGGCAACCCACCCTCCCCGAGGGGTCCTAATTCCCAGAAGCCCAAGATGAGTCCTCTGAGGTCAAACTCCTCCTTCCCTTCCCAGACCTTCCCCATCTTGGACTCAGGGTCTGTGGGCGCCAGGGAAGCAGCAAGCTCAGAGAGCTGGGGTCTCGGCTTTCTTCTGGCCTCCAGGTCATCTGGGGGTGGGGTGTGTGATGCTGACCTGCCCTGGCCATGGAGGGGCCAAGGTGAGGGGAGGCAGGAGGTCAGGCTAAGGAAGCTGGCAGCTTCCCAGAGGTTCCTGAGTCAGGATTCCCGAGTGTGACTTCTCTGTTTGTTTAAGAATCCCCAGCCAGACCTACCCGCCCATATGCAAATGTGAGAAGAAAGACACATTCCAGAGACCTAGAAAAAGGGTTTAGGGAGGAGCCACAGAGCACAGGATTCCTTCTCCAGCATCAGCGTACATGGGTTGAGAGAGGGCTTCTGGTTTCTCAGAGGACACTTCCGGGCCCTATTCTTTGCCCAGAGAGGGGGGCCTGGGTATATTCATAGAAATACCTTGAAAGCACCTTGGAAAGTGGGGATGTCCTTCCACAGTCATACCCACTAGTTGTGTGATCTTGGGCAAGTCACTTAACCTCTTTGGGCCTCATGTAAAAAGAGGAACTGCCTCCTAGTTTTGTTGCCCTGGGAAGAGAAAAGTTCAAGGGGGATTTGGAGCTCCCTGAGATAGTGGGCACAAGTGGGCTCAGGCTGGGATGTGCCTGTTTCAGATGCTCACCAGCTCTCCTCACCTCTTATTCTCAAACAGGCTCCCACTCCATCCCCAAGCCACCCCGACAAAGCCTGAAGGGGTTGGATACCTACCAGTAGTGGCCAAGACAGGACCCTTGGTTCTGGGGCCCTTTGGATGGCTTCTCCTCAGGCCCATTGAACGTGACAGTCACTCATGGTGAGGGTGTCATATTAGCTACTGCCCCCCAAATCCACTCGCTGCAAGCCCCCAGGCATCGTGCCAGAGGCTTTCTCTCAAGTGCCCATTTAATCCTCACGACAATCCTCGAAAGACTTCCCACAATCCCCATTTTGCAGCTGAGGAAACCGACATTCCATAGAAGTCAAGTGACTTTCCCAAGGTGTCCTTTGGCCCTATAGGAAGTGAGGCTGAGATTTGAGCCCACTCCCTTCCCTCCTGCGCAGTGAAGAGGGGCTTGGGCCCAGAGAATCACAGCCAGCTGGTCGACTCACAGGGTGACCTCGGACACGTCCCTTCCCCTCTGTGGGCTCAGCCCCATCATCTTCCAAATGAGGCGGTTGGACCTCGTGCTGCTGGCCCTTCCAGGCCTGAGATTCTATGATTATGGCTATCTCTGCATCAGCAACCCCAGGGCACATCCAGAAAGAGCTGACAGTTGATTCGATCCTCGGGGCCCAGATGCTGGCTCCCCAGGCCCCCGGGAAGCCCAGGAAGAGTGGGCTTCTTCACCTTCCAGTACCTAGCTGTGCACTCCCTCTGACTCTACTCAGGGTAGAGCCCCATGCTAGACTCTGGAGGCCCCTGGGGAGCTCACTTCCCATGGAAAGCCAGAGCCTGGCTGCCAGCAGCTATGGATTCTCTGTGCCAGGGTAAAACAGCCATGGGGCTCCAGCAGACCAGCAATGAGGGAGACTCCCCGGAGCAGGCAGCAAAGGCCTTTGAGTTGAAGATGGCTGGGAGATAGACTGGGGAGGACTCATCGACCATCTCCAAGGAGCCCGCCAGAGCTCCTCTGCGCTTTGCCAAGGAGGAAGGGGCAAGGCTTTGGGTCACCAGCTGGGCCAACCTGTCTGGCCACTTCCTGTGCTCCCCCTGCTAGGGCTCTGCAGTGGGAATTCTAGAGCGGGACTTTTTCAGGTGTCCTTCACAGACCTGTTCCAGGAGGCTTGCAGCTCTGAAAGCGAGCAGACCCCAAGCCAGGCTTGATGTGTGGGATCAGGCCCTGTATCTTCACGCTATTCCAGAGAGATCTCTGACCCCACCCCACCTCACTGTGACCATTGTCAAATCTCCCCCAGTACTTCCCCCAACCCCGACCCGGACAGCTCACCCTCTGCCTCTCACCTGAAGTGAGGTGCGGGGTAGGGATCCCAGCCCCAGCTCCACGGCTAACCTGCTGAGCTCCCTCAGAAAAAATCCCTGACCTTCTCTGTTTTCCATTTGATCTCTAGGACTAAGCTTTGGGGCAAGCAGAGGAGAGGCTGCTTTCGTATAAGTTTCAAAGCCGCAGAAGGGAGGGAGGAAGAAAACCAAGGCCTCACCTGATCATCTGTTTTTTTTGCCTTCCAGCAGGGGTCAGAAATCAAGGTCAAGCCCCCAGCTCTGGAGACCGGCCCTGGGATGTACTGTTACCAGCCCCCCTTGCAGCACCTGTACTGTCCCTCCCAGCCCCCCTTCCATCAGGTGGGTCAGGGACAGGTGGGCCCTAGGATACTATGTGGTATGAGGTGTGATGGTATGAGGCATGGATGTGAGTGTGCATGTCTGCATCCCCAGGGAGGGGCCGCCTGAGTCCAGGGCCCCCTGGGGAAGGAAGCAATCACCCTTCTCTAGGAGGAGGTGGGGTTCATCTGAGAATTGCAGACGGAAAGTCTCAGGAAAGAGAGTGGGGCTGAGAGTGGGGCATGGCCCAGATGTGAACCAAAAAGAGAGAGAGGAGGAGAGCCCAACAAAGACAGGGGCCAAGAGAAAAGCAATGTGTGGGGTGACTGAGCAGAAAGGCAACAATGGGCTCCCGCCTGGGTCTGCCACTGTCTTACTATGGAGCCCTGTCCCCTAACTTCCCTTTCACCGAGACAGGGTAGGACCAGGCATGGAGGTTGGGGGAACTTCCTACCTGGAAGGCTCCATGACCCCATCATCTCTGGCCCTTCTCCTCTCTCCCACCCCACGGCCCAGCCTCAGCTCCTCCGATATGGCCAGGATGCCAAGTAATTGCCCCACACTGGCATGGGATGCAGGTTTTTACAAAAGAGAAAGAAAAGAGCCCCAGAGCTGCCAGGCAGATCCCAGGAGTCACCGGGCAAGACGGAGCAAGTGGCTGCCCAGCGCCCAGCTCCATCCACCTGCAGCCTGGCGCTGAGACAGGCCCTGCCTGTGGAGCAGGTTCTACTCCCGGCTCTTTAGCTTTGGCCCTGATCTTGGCCAAGCCAGGGAGGCAGGCACATTGCGGGGGGAGGGTGCCATGGGGGAGGTGGTCAGAACTGCTTGCCGTGAGGGAGGGAGGCAAGAAAGAGATGGAGGGGCGCCAAGGGAGACCAGGAGGGGTCATCCTCGCTGCCACAAGGAGCCCAGCTAGAATGGCTAAAGCCCTCCTGAGGCTCGGAGTCTGACCTGGGGCAGGGAGTTCCCCGAGGCAGCCTGGCCCATCAGGGACAGAGCCGCAGCAGGGTTCAGGGGCTGCCAGACCTCAAGTGGCCTCACCGTGCCTAGCCTGCTTTGATGCCTTCTGCATTCCGCAACCCCCCCCCAACAAGATGGCCGCACCCAGGGCTTTATAGAGGCTGCAGAGAGGGTGACTCAGGCACCAAGTGTCTCTCGGGTGACCTGGAAAGAGCACCTCAGCCCGGAGCACATGGGGGAGTCAGAGTCTCCTACCCCCTTTACCCCCATAAAACACCACCCCTGGCACCGCAGCCACTCCCTTTGCCGTAAAACCACCTCCTACCCCCACCTGCCCACCACCATGACCGGCCCTTTCAAAGAGCCACTGAAACTCATAAAATGTGGCAGTGCCCAGCAAAAGAGTGCCCGGCCTGGACACCCCACTTCCGACCCAGCTGCTCCCGGAAATGGAGGGGAGGTCTGGAGGGCCTCACACTCTCTGGCCCAGCTGGGCTGCTTCCCCATCGCCATGGCAACCGGAGGACCTGGATGGCCTAGAGGAAGGAACTGGAGGAGAGGAGCTTTGAGGCCTCTGAGATCTCACATCTGGGGATGGGGATCTCCTCAGAGGCCCTCAGATGTCCACGCCCTTGGCCAGCCCCCTCAGATGGCTCTGCTCTTGGAGCCAGTAACCAGGGAGAGAAGAATCTAGCCTCAGCTCTCTCTCTGGATGTATGTGAATGGGTTGTGGGGGATGGGATTCCCATGGCAACCATCTGCCCCTTTGACCCCTACAGTACTCACCAGGTGGTGGTGGTTACCCCATTCCCTACCTGGGCTCTTCACACTATCCATACCAGCGGATCGCACCTCAGGCCAGCACGGATGGGCACCAGCCTCTCTTCCCCAAACCCATCTACTCCTACAGGTATGTTTCCCGACCCCCCTGGGGTGGAAGGCAGAGGGGTAAGAGGACCAGTGAGGAAACTGATGCACAGAATCCTCAAGGTACAAGATGATGGCAGAGGTTGGAAATCATACCCAGCAGGCTTCGAGAAGATGCTGGAGAGGAGATTCCTGAATGGGGGCAGGCGGATAGACTAGATCACCTCTGATCTTGTCTGACCCTGTGGAGCTATGTCAGAGGCTCTGCTCAGCAGAGGCTGGTGCCCTGAGATTGGGCCCCCTAAGTTCTGGCCTCATGGGGTCCAGGGCATCTGACTGAGAGTTGAGGAGGGAGGCTCGGCCCTAGGGACAGAGCAAAGACCAACCCCCAAAGTTCTCCTGGAAATAAGTGAGGGATGAGGTCTACAGATGCAGCTCAGGCAGCCAGCGCCTGCAGGGTTGGGGCTGGGGTTATAAGCGCCAAGCCCACAACCCCCAGCCCATCTAGGACACCTTTCTCCTGAGCTTTCATTCCTCCCATCCACAGTGACACCTGACCTTCTGTGTGCCAGGCCCCACATGGGATCAGGTCATCAGCCAGTGTCCAAGCTCAGGGAAGGACAAGGAACTCAAACAGCAGCCCCGAGCACAGAGAAGGGGTTTGTGGGAGGCAGGGTGGGGCACAGAAAAAAGCACACCCCATCCTTGGAGGCCAACAGAACAGAGTTCAGGTCCAGGCTCTTGAATTGACTAGCTGTGAACCTCAGGCAAGTTCCTTAATCTCTCTGTTTAAGAAAAAACAAAAAAGAACAGCAAGATTCAGGCCTTTGGGAAGATTAGTAAGAGAATACGCTTGGCACACTGTAGGGGCTCAAGAAACCATAGTTGCATCCCTTCAGCATGCAGTTGGCTGAGGGTTGACTGGTAATGACAGCTTCCATTTAACGAGTGCCTTCTATATTCAAGGCATCATCCTTAATCCTCACAACTCTGAGGTAGCTATTACTTTCCTTACTTCAAAGCTGAGGAAACTGAGGTTCAGAGAAGTTAAGGCACTCACCCGAGGTCACACAGCTAGTAAGTGGCCAGGCCAGGATGACAAGCCTGATCTCTCAGATTCCACAAGACCTTTGTATCTCAGTAATTCCCGATGTCAGTGGACACCTTCTCATCCTTTCTCCTTTCAACTTCATAGAGCCTCTCACCTAAATCCACAGCAGATTATTTCTCCTCAACTACTCCAGCCAGGGCAGGCAGGGGGTGGGGAGGGGCAGGTCAGGGGGAAACTCTCTGTCTGCTCAGAAGTTCAAACCCTCAAGGTTGTTCTCTGCCTTCAGCATCCTCATCTTCATGGCCCTTAAGAACAGTAAAACGGGGAGCCTTCCTGTCAGTGAGATCTACAATTTCATGACGGAGCACTTTCCCTACTTCAAGGTGAGCCCAAGATCCACCCAAATCCTCCCACCCCGAGTCCTGGGTGAGACAGGCCTCTCTGAACCAGAAGGTTCAGCGGGAAGGTAGAGCACGGGTTAGAATGAAAACCAGGAGAGAACTTGCCTCCTCTTTTCCACACTTCCTCTCGAGAGAGTTCTGCATCAGGAACAGAGAGCTCGAGCCATTCACCCAAGGTTGCACAGCAGGCTGGAATCTGACCTCATGCTGGTGGAAAGCGGACATGTCAGTCCTGATGGGCTTCAAGAAGCCTCCACCTGCCCCAAGTGGGGAGAGAGAGAGCTAGGGAAGAAATGAGAGGCTGTCCCATGCCTGCACTCCAGGAAGCTGTAGTGTTAGAAGGATCAGAGTAAGCGCTCTAGCCAGCCAGGGGGCAGGGGAGGCTGGGACCCCAGGACCCGTTGCCTTCCAGGGAGAGATTAAGATCTGTCCCTGTGGGTGGCAGGCTCTGCAGCAGGGCTGCCAGAAAGCAGGGTGTGGGTTTCATGGTCTTCAAGTGTCTCAGGGAACTCGGTGGCTCACCTGACCTTCCTATGTGCAACCTCTAGTTCCTGTCATCCACAAAAGGGGCTTCTATCAGATTCCCTCCCTAGAGGTGGGACAGATGCCCTTCTCTCCAGATAGGCAAACACATAACAGGGTATTCCTCCTGCTCAAGGTCACACAACAGGGGGGATGGGTTGGTGGCTCAAGCTGTTTGGCTTCACATCACCCACTTCTGTTCTCGGCATGTGCCCTCATACCCTCCAGCACAGACCTCTGCTTCCAGGGTGGGTGCAAGGGAGATCAGAGCTTGTATGTGAGGAGTGTCTTCTCTGAGGTCTCTACTCTGATGGATCTAATCTCATCTGCAAGCCAGGCCAAAGGTGGGAGCTGAGGCCCGGGTCCAGAACTCAGCTCCCACCAGCCGGAAGGTGGTCTCTAGCCCCACTGGCTTCCCAACTGTCCCGCCTGAGGATAATCTGAACCCGATACTCCAACAAGCTTGAATTTGCCACATGGTGATCAAAGGAGGAGTGGGTCAGATGGCCAGCATGGTCTGGCCAGGGAATGGGGAAGTACCGTCATCCACCAGAGATTCTGGAATGGAGAGGAGGAGGGAGGGGAGCTGTATCCGAGATCTGAAAAGCATCAAAGCCAATATCTAGGGCTGTCCCTATATCCCGACAGATCCTGAGACAAGAGCTTCCCTAACCCCAAAGCTTTTGGAGGGTCCTATATAGGGCTTCAAAGGGCCAGGCCAGAGAGAGGGAAGTGAGGGCCCTGCCCTGTTCCTCTCAGCCCTTCCTCCCTGCCAACTCCTGGCCTGCCCCCCAGCCCCTCCCTGCATCTCATCTTCCTGGCTTAATTATTTTTCCTGGGAGCCGTGTAATCCCTGTTTTATGGGGCTGAAGAGTGAAGAGGTCTAACAACTTTTTTTTTTTTGTTCTAGTTGTTGTTCTTAGCCAGTTGCATCACTCCCTCACTCCTGAGTTTACATTTGACTTCAGAGAGAAAGCATCTGTGAGGATGGGACGGGCCCCAGTAGTGAAGCCAGCTCTATAGGGTGACCTGGGCAGGGCCCTTCCTAAGGGGACAGAGCTGGAGTCCGGGCTCTGTCACTGTCTTCTGTGTGATCTAGGGCCAGGCCCTTTCTTCCCTGGACCTCAGTTTCCCAATCTGTAAAATGGTCAGGTTGGACCAGTTGGCTCATCCATTCCCTCCAACTCTGACACCTCCCCTCTGAACTACCTAAGGCCAGCCCCCTTTATCGCTCACGTTCCATTTGAAGGGTCATTTTTCCCAACAAGAACAGAGTGGACCCTAGGGTGGGTAGCTCTCATGCCCCAGGCAGTGGAGGTGGGCGTCCTGTAGCCCCATGAGTCAGGGCTACGGGACCGGGGAAGTGTCCAGCCGCTGGGCATAATTGCTACTGCCGACCATCCCTCTTCCAAACAGGAAGTGGCTGGGGTGTGGGGGGTGCCCTGGCATCCCAAAGTCACAGATTTATGGGCCCATAAAAGGGCCCAGTGCACATTAACTCTGTCCATCAGGCGACACAGCCTTGACTCCTAGTAGGGACTGTCGTGGGAGTTGAAGGTGAATCCCAAGCTGACCGGTCTGGTGACTCGAGAATCCTTCCTCCAGAACCCCAGAAGCCTTGAGGGGGGTCATCTCCACCAGCCCCCTGCCCCCAGCCAGCTGCCCCTGGGAAAGACTCCAGCAGCTCCTGCCAGTGACTTGCCGTGACGCTGGCATCAGGACCCAGTTCTGCGGGGCGTGATTCAGCCCGGCTGCTCCCTGGGGCAAGTGAGCCGGGGAGGAGGGCGTGGCTGCCCCTCATTAAGCAGAAACTGCAAGCTGAAAGGGAAAAGGGACGGGGGCTGAGGGTGTGGGGGCCCCACTGGCTGGAGCCGATGTTCTCCCCACCCGTCAGCCACTGCTGGGCTTAGGACTGTCACAGAGGCTAGGACAGAGCTGGAGGTGGGGGGATGGGGGGAGCCCACTGGCACCCCCGCCACCGCCTCTCACCCCACTGAGTCAGCCTAATGGTTTTTACAACCCTCCCTGGGCACAATTACTGCACTGGTGGCATGACCGGGCCTCCTAATGGGTGTTTATTCTGTTGGCACGAGCCCCCCCCACTCCCCACCTGAGGGCTGGCCTCCCCACCGGGGCCCCCGTACACTCATGTGAACACTCACACCCACATACAGTCATGGATCCCCCCACACACCCAGGGAGACTTTCTCACACTCACATCCTTGCACTCAAAGGAACTCACAGGCCCACACCCCAGAGACTGGCTACACCAGGGAGACATATTTAGGGACACAAGCACACACAGACTCATAGCCAATCCCCCCCCAACACACACACACCTCGTTCTCTCTCCAAAACCCAGCTGTACACACAACATATATGCGACACGGGCACACACCCAAATACGACCTCACCCATCGTTCTTCCCTCCAGGGTTTGCCCAAGCAGGGATGAGGCAGCCCCTGGGGAAAGGATCATCTCCTAGCTTCCTTGGGGAGACCTGGGTGTTGTGAGTTTGCTTTTGGCACAGGGGTCGGAGCACAGGCCTGGAGACCCAGGGGGAGTGGTCCAGCTCCAGACAGGGAACGGGCCCTCCCTATACGAATCACCTCAACAGTCCTCAGAAGGGTTGGCCAGCGGTGGGGATGAAGGCAGATTTTAGGTGAAAATAATTTGCGGCCAAGGTTCCTGCCCACCCCTGCCCCACCCCGGAAGGGTGCCAGACGCAGGCTGGGTGCTGAGGAGGACGACAAGCCCCGGAATGGGTGGCAATTAGGTGCCCAGAGGGCAAAGGAGTTTTCTGGAGCCCAGACCTGGCTCTGGCTACTTGACCCTGACCCTGACCTTGTCCTGCTCTGCTCCGGCAGACGGCGCCCGATGGCTGGAAGAATTCTGTCCGCCACAACCTCTCTCTCAACAAATGTTTTGAGAAGGTAGAGAACAAATCGGGAAGCTCCTCTCGCAAGGGCTGCCTGTGGGCCCTCAATCCGGCCAAAATCGACAAGATGCAGGAGGAGCTGCAGAAGTGGAAGAGGAAAGACCCTATCGCCGTACGCAAGAGCATGGCCAAGCCGGGTGAGAGGCTGGGGGGCAATGCAAGGAAGGGCGTGGTGCACCTAAGAGCAGGGCGAGGGGGACAGTAGAGGGGAGGGGGAGAGGGAGAGAGGGATAGAAGCTGAGCAAAGAGAACTTATCAATGAGTGAAGGTCTGAGTGGTTCCAAGGCTGGGGAGAGGGCTTGTGGGGAAAGGGAGGTCTCACGGTGTCCATCTCTCTTCTCTCTCGGGCCTTCGCAGAAGAGCTGGACAGCCTCATTGGAGAGAAGAGGGAGAAGCTGGGCTCCCCACTGCTGGGCTGCCCACCCCCTGGGCTGACCAGCTCAGGCCCCATCCGGCCCCTGGCCCCTCCAGTTGGGCTCTCCCAGCCACTGCACTCCATCCACCCAGCTCCAGGCCCCATTCCCGGCAAGAATGCCCTGCAGGACCTACTTGGGGGACACGTGTCCTCCTGCTATGGGCAGACATACTCGCACCTCTCACCGGGCCTGCCCCCTCCCGGACCTCCGCAGCCGCTGTTCCCACAGCCGGATGGGCACTTGGAGCTGCGGGCCCAGCCAGGCACACCCCAGGACTCGCCTCTGCCCGCCAACACCCCACCCAGCCACAGCGCCAAGCTCCTGGCTGAGCCTTCCCCGGCCAGGACCATGCAGGACCCTCTGCTGCCAGACGGAGACCTTGGCACTGACCTGGATGCCATCAACCCCTCTCTCACCGACTTTGACTTCCAGGGTGAGCTGGGGGCAGGAAATGGAAGGTGGGAAAGAGCTGGAGAGGTGCGTCCGGCGGTGTGGCCCATTCCCTCCAAGTCTCCAGGCTGGGGCCTAGCTAGCTGCCAGGTTTCTGGTCAGTTGAAACGGAGAAGTCCCTAGCCAGCCAGGGGTGCCAAGGGGCAAAGAGAGACGTCCTTGCCCCCACTTCCCTCCTTCTGGTACCCCTGAACATGTTGCAATGGACCCCATCATCAAACCACTCCCAGCTTCAGGTAGCTGGAAAAGAGTCCAGTGTGCCATTGAATAGTGGCTGTGAGCGACTGCCCATCTGAACATTCCAAGAGGTGGCTGCGTTTTCTCATTCATCTTTTAGGGCAGAAGAAGGAGAGTGGTGTTCCCCCCGGGGAAGAATGCAAGACCCCAGAACTAGGCAGGCCCTGCAGAGATTTGCAGGATGGGAATCTGGGGAGAGGTTCTATCTAGTCCATTCCACCTTGTCCGCCCCATCTCTGCACACAGCCAAGTCCATCCATTCACACCTAAACTCCAGTGGATGCCCAGCCCCTGGTCCTGGCCCCGGGAGGCTTGGAGGAGGTGGCTGACCCAGGCCTCAGACCCTCTGGGTGCATGGGGGTGAGTGGGGACATCCATAGGCAGCTGGAGACTGCTGACCCTCACAGAGCCCCTGGTCCTGGAGCCCAGGTCTTGGTAAACTTGTTAGGAATGCACGGCTAGAGCCTCAGCCCAGAAGTAGCCAGAAGTGGGGGCAGCGCTCACCAGGGACCATCAGCTTCACAGGTCCCCTCTCCTCTGGGCCTCTAGAACCAGAGGAGGGATTATTAAACCCCTTTCACAAAAGCACATGGAGGTTAAGTAACTTATTCAAGGTTACTTGGCTAGGAAGAAGGAGATTAAGGATTGGAACCCAAGCAGCCAAGTTCAGTCTGGGGTTTAGTCCAACCCCCTTCCTCCATCCCGGCAGCCCTGATGCCCAGGCCCTGGCCTGCCACAATGCAGATCCCACAGCCCAGAGAGGAGGACGGAGTAGCAGCAATGACTCCTCCCTAGAGTCTCTGCTCCAGGCTCTGCTCTCCCTAGGGCCTGCAGTGGAGGACTACATCAGGTCCCGAGGAGCACTGTTAGAAGATTCTTGGTCTTGACTGCAGATTGCCTTCCTTGGAAGCCTGGGCACAAGCCAGGGGGAAGAGCACCAGGGCTCCCTCTGCAGGCTAACCTGGGAGTGCACAGTACAGACATCCGTCCTTCCAAAGGGCCAGCTCTCAAGTCCTTGGCTACCCCCGCCCCCACTGCAAAATAAGAGCCCCGGAGATCATCTAAGCTATGGCAGAGGAATCGGAGGGTTCCAGCAACTCCCTGGTACCAACAGTCTGTTCCCTGGTCAAGGTCATCCCAACCATGGTCTTTTTAGCATGTAAGAGCCAAGGGGTGGGGGTCCACAGGGTTCCTCGGTACCTCCCGGTGACTCCTGTTCTCTCCCCCAACTAGGAAACCTGTGGGAACAGCTGAAGGATGACAGCTTGGCCCTTGACCCCTTGGTACTGGTGACCTCATCTCCAACATCCTCTTCAATGCCACCACCTCCTCCCCCACCCCATGGCTTCCCCCCAGGGCCCTGTCTGGCAGAGACAGGCAGCGGGGCCGGCGACTTGGCACCACCCGGCAGTGGGGCCTCCGGGGCACTGGGTGACCTGCACCTCACCACCCTCTACTCGGCCTTCATGGAGCTGGAGCCCACACCCCCCGCGGCCCCTGCCGGCCCGTCTGTGTACCTCAGCCCCAGCTCCAAGCCCATGGCCCTAGCCTGAGCCACGCCCGGCAGCCACTCCGGCCTCCAACCGGCCTGGACGTCCCCGCTGGCCGCCCACATCGGGCCCACCTAAAAGGTCAAGGAAGGAAAACCAGCCCTGTCCCCTAAGCCACCAAGCCAACTGATTGTCAGCTGGCAGCTTGGGGGTGCAGAAGATAGCCCCCAATGCCACCCCTCACACATTTCTGCCATCTGGGGAGCCAGCTCCTCACTCAGGATCCCCAGAGACCGAGTGTCCAGGCGAGGAAAGAACACACCATCCCTAGCTCACACTCATCCACACCTACGTCCTGCATAATATGTGTGCACACACATACACACAGTCAAATCAAACCCACACCCACCCACATACCTACTATCCAGAAGTATCAGAACTACATCACCGAGAGCCTGACTCCATTTCTAAGGTGGCTGACAGCTGAGGGCCCAGGTCCTTGTGCGAGATCCAAGACCACCCCGAAACCCTCTTCTGCTGTCCGCATTCTCTGCAGGCCTGGCCCCTTCTAGCATGTACTCTCCCGGAAGGACCCTGTATTTATTCTCCCATCTTCATCCCAGCAACCTGTCAGGAAGGAGTCATTGTACAGCCTCTCCCCAAGTTGTCTGTGGGTCCCCCAGGGGGCTGCTGTTCAGGGCACCCACCTGGCCAGGCTCCACCCAGCCTCAGTGTCTGCTCTGTCTGACCTCCCCCAGAATGCCACACGGGAGAGGTAACGGCCACCCCAGGACCAAACTGAGCCCAGTTCTGACACAAAGTGTTTGGAAAAGCCCGTGCCCTCAGAAACTTCAGAGTGTCCTCTTCTCCCAGCCCTGGGCTCTGGAAGGGCCTCTCCAGGGCACGACAATCTCACTCCTTCTCTGGAAGAACTTCATGTAGTTTAGTTCCCAACTTACTAATGACTTTTCACTGGCCCAGGCAGCCTGGGCATTCAGGGAAGGGGAGCCTGACACAGGCTGGCGGGGGCGGAAAGTGGATGTGTGTGGCGGCCGACGCCCCCCTCTCTTTGACTGTTTGGCAGACCCACGATGTCCCCCAGAGCTGGGGGTGTGGCCTGGTCAGCCACCATGCCCTACTGGAGAGTCTAACCCCCACCGAGTGGGAGCTTCAGCCTACCCTGCACCCAGGGGTGACAGAAATCCTCAGAGGTTGGCCTGGGCTTGGTTAGGCACAAGCAGATCTCTAGACGGTCTGCAGTTTTCCCCTGACCTGGAACAATAAAGCAAGTGCCTGTGGTCTTGGCTCCTGAGGCTTCATTTCCAGATTTCCCCTCGCTGGGCAGAAAGGCCAGGCCTTTCTGTAGACACCCTGGTCTGGGATGTCACCCCGACCCTCACTCTGTACTGTGAAGTTTCCAAATCCAATGAGTGAGGCACCCAGGAAGATTTCTGGACCAACCTGAGGAGGGCGAGAGGGCAGGTAGGCGGGGCCTCTTTCCAGGAGAACTTCCAGAAGGATCCAAGGAAGCAGTTCTCCTGCCCCTAAGAAGGAAGAGGATTCCCTCCCCACCCTCAACCCCTTCTTACTGAGATTCACTGCTTTCCTCCTTGAGCCCCACCATCTCTTCACACAGGAAGGGGTCACTTCCCTGTCCCGGTCGTAACTTCCTGTCCTCCATCTTTCCCTGGTGGGGGCTACAGGTTCCACGGGTGAGGTGACTGGAAGGGAGCCCGGTGCTGCGGACACTGCTGGCCCTGGAAAGTGGTCTCTGGGGGGTCAGGGCCCTACTCAGCCTCCACCCTCCCTGAGAGCCTGTGTCCAGGACCAGAGGGAAAGGGCAGGGTAGGGAGCCAGGGGAGACAGGGCCAGCCGGTGCACCCGAGAGGAAGACCCACCTCCCTCAGCCTAGCCCTGACTATAGAGGGAAGGGGTGGGGGGAGACTCTCTGTGAACCCCCTACCCTACACCTCCAGCTCCGGCGGTGAGCAGAGATCAAGATCTCCTCCAGAGTAAAACTTCAGTCCCGTGGGCCCATTGAGCGCACCTACAAGGGAGTTGGCACCCACACAAGTAAGGCAGGTGGCAAACAGAATTTGGGGTCTCCGAGTTTGTTTTTATAACCAGACCGGCCCTTAAACTTGAAAGGGCTGCAGCCTCTCGGAGCTGAGCCCCAAGCTCCCATTCATAGGCTGCCCCCTGCTGGTCATCTCACAACAAACAGCCACCGTTTGAGGACGTGAGCTGAATGGATGCAGGGTCTGGAGGTGCCCCGTTCTGGGGGAGTTGGCCTTTTCTTTCTGGCGGGGGCGGGAGTGTTGAGTGGCTCTAAACATAAGGGTTCTAAAATTGGTTAGTTCATGGGTTCATTAAATTGGATGAAGAGGGGCGCCTGGGTGGCTCCGTCGGCCCCGCAGCCGTGAGATCAAGCCCTGCTTCGGGCTCTGTGCTCAGTGCAAGGTCACTTGAAATTCTCTTTCTCCCTCTCCCTCTGCTCCTCCCTTCATCCCTGCTCACGAGCGCTCTCTTTCTCTCTCTAAAATAAATAAATAAAGTTTCTTAAAAAGCTGGCTGAAGAAATCATACCTTCATTGTCACTCATCTCAACCTCAAACTTAGCATTTCCCTCCATTACAAATGTCAGCCACAAATCACAATAGCTATAGAAGAATCTGTGACGGGGCGCCTGGGTGTCTCAGGGGGTTAAAGCCTCTGCCTTCGGCTCAGGTCATGATCTCAGGATCCTGGGATCGAGCCTCCCCATCGGGCTCTCTGCTCAGCAGGGAGCCTGCTTCCTCCTCTCTCTCTGCCTGCCTCTCTGCCTACTTGTGATCTTTCTCTGTTAAATAAATAAAATAAAAATCTTTAAAAAAAAAAAAGAAGAAGAAGAAGAATCTGTGACATTGTCATAAGGTAGAGAAATTGCAGATTAGAAATCACAGATGTTTTCATATTATATTACAGGTATCGCAGAATAGATATGTAGATTCCTATTACACAGTTTTTAATACCTAAAATACTTAGGATTACCGTACATTTTGTACACATAAGACCCTTACCGTTTCTAGGCTTCAGGAGACGATAACAATGGGGTCCATAACACACAAAAAGGTAAAGCACCCTCGTTTTCGCTAACAGGGTGGTGAGGGATGGATGGTGGCTCTTAACAGGAGGGCCTGGGGCAGAGAGGAAGGTGCTGGGGGTTACAGCTAGCAACTTTTTACCATCGGAAGGGAAGCATATCAATATTTCATCATGGGTTTGGCAGTCCTAACATGCACCATACCATGACCAGCCTGGGTAGGCACAAATGGTGGGTCTCTCGGGCTTTCTTGCTCGACCCAGTGGCAGGGTCCTTGTGACAATTCCTGAAGAGTCAAAGCCAAGAAATCTGGACCACAGCAGAGAAATGAAATCTGAGGCCCAGATCTGGCCAGCTCCATACGGACCTTCCAGCTCATTAGCATCAGAGCCAGGGCCAGATTCACCCTTACCCTGTCTCCTCCCTCCTTATATTGCCCAGGGACCCTCTACATTCTCAGGGGAAGTGCCAGGAACCAGACGCAGCAAGGTGCACCCTTGGCAGCAGACCAGTGCCAGAGACAATGAAGACTTCCAAGGAGACAGGGGGCCAAGCCTTTTCCCAGCCGGAACTCCTCTTCCAGGCCCAAAGTACATGGGACTCTCGGGGTGAGGGCCAACCCCATAATTCAGCCATCATTGCAGCTTCAGCAACCATCTTGTGGCCACTGACCTCCAAGGATCACCATCTCCAGCCTTCATCCACTTCCTGGTCTCAGGGCCTGAATTTCCTGTCTCTTCCTCTTCACCTCCTTCGGGACATCTGTATGCACATGCCAGCAGGTCCCAACCTGAACTCATCACCTCCCCCAGCCCCCGTCCTGATCCAACTTGGATTCCCAAGCCCCGTGACAGCAATCCCACCCCCCACCCCACCCCGATATTCAGGCCCCAGACCAAGCTTCAGCTTCAACTTCTTCCTGTCTCTGGCCGTCTCATCCCATCAGCCGCCAGTTCTGGAAATCTCCCCTCTGAAAATCTCCACTTCGTCTGTTTCTCGCCATCTCCGTGAATACTGACCGAGTTCAGGTTCCCTTTGGCTGTCAGCCCAAATTCCTGCACCACCCTCCCAAGAGCCCCTCTGCTTGCCGTGGGGGTCTGTGACCTGGAGCCACACTGTGGGCTTAGACCCCTGACCCTGCCACTGAATAGACACACAGCTTCGGCCACACACGTTCATCCCTCTAGGCCCACACTTCTGTGAAATGGGCATAATAACAGTGCCCGCCTCAGAAGCAACTACGAACAGTCTAAGTTAACACGTATCCCCAGACCTGGCACTCAGTGTGTGTCGGCTGTTAGTCTCCCTCCTTCAAATCCAGCCTTCTCTCAGCAGCCAGAGATAATCTGACTGGGTCATCCCAATTAACCCTCCCACCTTCCCCTGGAGAAGCCTTATCACCGGGACTACAAGGTTCCAGAAGACCTGTCTTCCTTTCACATCATAAATATCCACTTTCCCCTAGACACCTGATCCATCTTGCCTCCAGACCCCTGCTTTATGCTGTTCCCTGTGCTTCAACGCTCATCCTGCCTCTTCCAGCCAATCATCCTGAGTGTCCGTGGTCCTGCTGGGAACAGGTGTCTCCTCCAAGGATCCTCCCCAGATCCTCTAAGCAGGATGACTCCCACTCCCCTCCCTATAGGCCCAGTCCATCTGATTCCTAGGAACAAGTGTGTGTTCGTGTCTCACTCATTTTAGAATTCCCAGAGTACTGCCCAGCCAGGGCTCCAAGGAACCCAGAGGAATCCTGGCACTTGTAGGCATCTTAGAGTTAAGTCTCAGCCCAGAGAGGGTGGTCACCAGGTATATCCAAATTAGTGCCTGAGAACAGTAGGGTGTGAGTTCTCTACCTACCCCAGGTCCTCCGTTTCCTCCACTAAGGAAATTAAGAGCTCTTCTGGGTTTGGGGTGGTGCTAGGGGCCAGGGGCTGTGTCCTATGCAGGCCGGCCAGGACAGGAGATGCTCCCCCGGACCTGAGCCAAAACCATGTCCACCTTGTCTCTCTAATGAGGGCTCAGTGCACAACCTAGCTAGCAGTCCTAGTGGTCTCTGGGTGTGGAAAGGTGCTCTAGAGAACCAGACCACCCCCTCCACACACACCTTCCGTCTACCCTAGAGTTGAGGCCTTTGTCCCAGCCTCTGTTTTGCCAGAGCTGCCTATGACTTTGGGACAAAGCTTCCCTTCTCACAGTCTGGGTCTCCATCTTTATCAAAGGAAAAACCCCTTCTGGCTGCAACATATGCTAAATGCTGACTTGAGATGCTGAGTGTGACACCAGGGTATAGAGGAT